GGCAGGCGCCAATCATTTGGGCTTGCTCCCATGCATCAAGGTATAGGGCGACAAGTATATGCCCTAATCAGTTAGATCGCATAAACACCCTAATTTCAGCATATTCACGATCGCAACCGACAAACCAACGAGCCCGTGGTGGAATGGTAGAGTGGCAAACTCAATGACCAAAGGTCCCGGGTTCGAATTTCGGGAGTTCCAAATCCTGAGATTACGTATGACCGGTCGATGAGGGCTAACAAGCCAGAAATGGCCACTCCGGTCTCCCTTTGCTTTGTCGGATCCACTTCGTCATACGTCGCTAAGCGACAGTGTGATATCACTCGAGTTAGAGCAAGGGTATACCCTAATCAGCCTATTTCGGACTTATTTCACCTTCAATCAGCCAACCATCAGTCTGGCTAACAGCTGGCACCAAATGCACATAAAAAATGTACTCATACACGGCGCAGGTGGTCAACAGATGCGGTCTATTAGGTGAGTCATGTACGCTTTATCGAACCGAGGTTCATCCATGTCGCACCATCTATTATTACCTGTTGCTGCCTTCAGCAATGGACGCAAAGCAGCCATCTGCGTCGGAAGGCCCAATAAACAGTACGACTCAGAATTCGTGCAACGTGCGGACATTTGCGAACGATTGATACTCACTCGCTAATCAGCATTGAGAAAGGTTGTAATACTGAGTAAGGTTTTAGCTTATTCTCGTCATTTCAGTCACGATAGAATGCTGGCTTTAAACGAGCTTCTTTCTGACCGCTAAAAAACGTATGTACTGTAAAAAATGGCAACTTCAATAGCATTTATCATTGATTTTGACTGCCTTTGTGAATTCTAATATATTTTATGGAAAAGGGGCACAAAAAACTCTTCCTTATGTTCGTAAGGTAGCAAGTTACGCCTTCATTAAAATTTATACTTAAAGCAAAGTTATCTTTCGGTTGTAAAAAATGTCTACTTATGAGATTCTTTACGATTTTGAGGTGTTCATTCACAATACATCGTATCCGTCAAGTTATTAGTGCTACCTATAATGTATATAGCATGATCCACGTCAATTTCATCATTTTATGAGAGCTGTGTGACTTCTTCCTCAAACCGTAGGCGAAAGCGTACTTTTCCTTAAACAGAATGTACACAGCGCGCAGTTTATAAAAGAGGAATTCGGGTGTAGCAGTCAGTAGGTTGCAAAATTATTCGGCAATTTTGAAATTTCTTTAAAACCAAATGATATTCTTCCTTTAAGTATAAAATTTTAAAGAAGGCAGCATTTACTACCAAACGCGTAGAAGAAAGATTTTTTCGCGCACGTTTTCCACAAAATATATTTAAATCTACAAAGGCAGTGAAAATCAATGATGCGTGCTACCTAAGTTGCAATTTTTTACAATACATACGTTTTGTTAGTGGTCAGAACGAAGCTCATTAAAAAGCTCGCATCGTATCATGACTGAAATGAGTTGAGAAAAGGCTACCCGTTAATCAGTATTAAAACCTTACTCAATGCCGATTAGAGAGTGAATTTTGCCAGGTTGCACAGATTCGGGGCCGTACTGTAACACTTCAGTGTATCCCTTTAATCGAATGAAAATTTGAATATCTGGAAAAAGATTTCATCCACTATTTGATTAAACTGAGGAAATGCTGCCTTAAACAGGATTTACACAGCGCGCAGTTTGCAAAGCTTGAATTCAAGTGCAGCAGTCGGTAAGCTGCAATATTATTCGACAC